AAAAAAAAAAGAACACTGAGCCTGTCAGATGTGGGCTTAGCGTTCATCCAGCCACAGGGGGCCCACATGCCAGACTACAGCCTCTGAACAGCCTCCTGACGCCACCTCCCCAGCTCTCGGGAGGCCTCCAGGGCCCAGGGCCTTCTCCTCCAGTTCAGGCAACCTCCTCCATTCACCTCGGAGCACAATATTATGTGCGCGGAAAAATATCATGCCCTGTGTGTGATTGCATGGAAGAGCTACAGAGTGCCACTCTAGACTGCCAAGTTACCTGCCCCTGTCCAGCTTACAATGTTCCCTTAGAAGCCAGGCACCTTTCTTCTTACTTTGTTTGTCCCTCATGGTCACCCGAAGAGCTTCTTGCCCTTTCTTTTTTTTAAGACAGAGTCTTGCTCTGTCGCGCCCAGGCTGGAGTGCAGTGGCGTGATCTCGGCTCCCTGCAACCTCTACCTCCCAGATTCAAGTGATTCTTCTGCCTTAGTCTCCCAAGTAGCTCGGATTGCAGGTGCCCACCATCACAGCTGGCTAATTTTTGCATTTTTAGTAGAGATGGGGTTTCACTATATTGGCTAGGCTGGTCTCGAACTCTCAACCTCAGGTGATCTGCCCATCTCAACCTCCCAAAGTTCTGGGATTACAGGCGTGAGCCACTGCGCCCAGCCTTCTTGCCCTTACAATGCAGGTGTTTCAGCCTTACCCTGGGCCTGTAGAATTAGATTTCCAGGGGGTGGACACAAGCTACCTTTTGTTTGTTTTACTGTATTTTTAAACTACATTCATTAATATTTTTGAATAGGTGATTTCACGTGGTTGGGGAAATGAATGAATGAATGAATAAAGGAATGAATTTATTTTTTGAGACAGGGTCTCGCTCAGTTTTCCTGGCTGGAGTGCAGTGGTACAATAATAGTTCACTGCAGCCTCAATCTCCTATGCTCAAGTGATCCTCCCACTTCAGACTCCCAAGTAGCTGGGACTACAGGCATGTGCCACCATACCTGGCTTGCTTATTTATTTATTTATATTACTAGAGATGGGTCTCGCTGTGTTGCTCAGGATGGTCTCAAACTCCTGAGCTCAAGCAATCCTCCCACCTTGGCCTCCCAAGTGTTGAGATTACAGGTGTGAGCCACTGCACCCAGCAGGAAATTTTTTTTAAGGCATAAAAAGGTATACAGTGGAAAATTTCCCCTCATTGCCAGGCTATATTAAAAACAACAACAACAACAACAAAAACTCACTTCCTTAAGTGTAGCTATTATCCACTACTATTGAACATGAACCCATTTCCTGGCAGGCTGTTTTATGCACAGTCCTAAAGGGCCCATGGCCTAGGCTTTGTGTGCTTTTGGGGGGCGTCTATAAATGTACTCCAGGCCTGGAAGGCGGACAAAGGCTTACTAGTTCCTCATAGGAGAATGAATAGCAAAAGGCAAAGTATTAAATGCTTAATTGGTTACAACATACAGTGTAACACTGTCAGCTTCATTTATTGTTACATTAGGCAATGATTAACATTTCATTAGGTTTACAGTAGCCAAATTATAGCCAAAGCAGAAGAATAAAATGCTTTTCAAAAGTTTTATAGCAACAAGTTCATTCTGACAGCAGGATGTGAATAATTTCAGCACCTTTGGTGGCGTGGGGCCCCTGGGACCAGGACGTGCAGAAGAACCACAACACTCGGTGCCCACTGAAAGGAACACGTGCCCGCGCCCAGCCTTACTTGCTGATGTACTCCCCGGTGAGGACCTTCCCGCAGCACTTGCATTTAAAGCACCCCAAGTGCCACTGCTTATCCAGCGCCAGCAGTGCCTGCCCATTCTTGATATCTCTTCCGCAGCCAGCACAATCTGAAAAAGAGCAGCCACCAGTGGTTACTACACATTTCCTTTGCTAAATCCAAGCAGGCAGCCCAATTCAACCCTACTGTGTGCCCATCACACACTCAATCAGTATTTACTCAGCACCATCTCGGGTCAGCTTCTCTCCCTGCACATCTTTCTCGGTGATGTCTCACAGGCTGCATCCTCACATGGCACGGAAGCTTCGTGAACCTCCATGGATGTAAGGGGATGGGTGTCCTTCACCCATTTGCTTTCTTGGGTTTTTTTTATGTACCATCTGAGCTATTGATGGCCCAGAGAATATTTAATTATAGTGTCTTGGTTGTGATTTTAAGAAAGTGCTCATAGGCATTTATTAATTGAGGGCACCATGAACAACTCAGCCCTTTATGCTGACGCCTCGCCTAACACTATATACGTGATTACTCCTGGAAGGCTGCCCGTAAATCTCACTTTTGTAAATGGGACTCTCTACTTCCTTATCAACCCAAACCAGCCTTTCAAAGATTTGTGATCATCAATTAAATGGCTCTTAATTCCTTAGCTTTCAATTCTCCTTGGCAGGCTCCTGGGAGGATGATAAAGGAGAAATTATTTCTTCATGGTAAAGAGTGTGGGCCGGGAACGAGGCATCCAAGCCCTGAACCCCAGCTAACTCCTTGTTGGCTAGCTATGTGATCAAGGCAAGTTACACCCTTTCGAAGCCTGGGTTTCTTCTTAGGGAAGTGGAGATGTTATCAGCACCTGGTCACAGGCCTCTGATGAGGATTCAGTGCATTTAATAGACAGCGGTAGATGGCACATTGGAAGTGACTAGAAACATTTGCTATTATTAAAATGGCCATAATTAACCTGATTATTGACTGCTTCATTCTGTTAGGGAAGTTGAGTATTTAAAAGAACTCAGAAGACTGTAAATTGGTGTAACCTTTCTGGAAAGCAACTTCAACATCTACAGACATTGCGAATCAATGTACCTGAGAGAGCAAAAGCAAGCACGGCTGTCAGGTTGGCCGTGATGTTCCCAGCTGATCACACAGAACACACACAGAATAAAGCTGTGTCCTGGCAAGGCCACTTCGTGGCCAGGTTTAGACCAACACAGAGACGAGGCCACCTGGTACACAAAGTGATGTAACGACCCCCTCTTCTGACCACATCCGTGACTGCTGCTGCTTTCCTGGTGACGTTTGTAGCCCAACTTCAATGCTCTCACCTCCAGAAAAATTTAAGAGACCTAATCACTGACCTGCTCCTGCTTCTTGACAACACTTCACGTAGAACTGCTTCTGCTCCTTTGAGTCCTCGCTAAAACTACCCAGCACAAGCCCAAATGCCGTGGAGATTCCTCCAAACCACACCCAGAGAGGGCTCTTGGTTCCTCTGGCCTCCCTCTTGCTGTGGCTAGTTAAACAAACTTGACCTGCTTTTTTTTTTTTTTTTTTGATGACAGGTGTATTTCTGGTGCTCTTGGTCAGTGGGTGTTCACATAACCTTGAGATCCAGTAATTATTTTATGTCTAAGATTTTATTCTACAAATATATTCGCAAAAGCATGTATGTGCATGCATATGGTCCCTATAGCATTTCTCTAATAACAAAAACTGGAAATAGGCTACATGGACATCAGTGAAGGGTCAGTTAAATGAATTATAGTCTAGTTGATAATGGAATACTATGTGCTGTTCAAAAGAATGAGGTAGATTTGTGCTGTGGCATGAAAAGATGTTCAAAATAGATCAAGTAAAAAAAGCAGGCCATAGAACAGTAAGCATAGCATAAGCTCATTCATAAAAAAGTAGTAAAGAAAAGGGTGTGTGTGTCCTAGTCCCAGAATAGAACATTTCTGGGGGAAAACATTAAAAATTCTTAAGAAACTTCCCTCTCTGGAGGAGGACTTTACTTTTTAACTTCACATCCTCTGGGTTGTTTGAATTTTTAAACCACGATAATGTAAATTATTTGAACATTTATAAAACTTAAAAATGTAAATTCTGAATATTGCAAATTAGAATTTCTTAATGTATAGCCTATTATCTAATACAAATACATATGAGTGTGTATTAAATGGTCATACACATATGAGTGTATATTAGATGGTCACAAAAGATTAAGCATTTTTAAAAAGCTGAGGCTTATGTGAATTCCAACATCTAACCAAAATTTTCATAAAAAGTCTGGTAGTTTACTATAAAAATAAAAATGGAAGGCCATGATATGTGTTTAAAAATATAAATTTTAAAGGTTAGGAGCATAGTATGGATGTAAGAAAATTGACAGTTTTTTTTTAAAAAAGACTGTTTTTAGAGCAGGTGTAGGTTCACAGCAAAATTGAGCAGAAGGTAAAGAGATTTCTGATACAACCCCAGTCCCTACCTGTGCACAACCTCTCCCATTAGCAACCTCTGGGACCAGAGTGGAACAGTTTTCACCACTGATGAACCAGCACTGACATATCATGATAACCCAGAGTCCACAGTTTACATTAGGGTTCGATTTTGATGTTGGACATTGAGTTTGGACAAAGATGCTGCAATGAAGCATCATACAGAGTAGTGTCTCTGCCCCAAAAACCCCTCCCATTCACCTCTCCCTCTGGGAACCACTAATCTTCTTCTTTTTTTTTTTTTTTTTTGAGACGGAGTTTCGCTCTTGTTACCCAGGCTGGAGTGCAATGGCGCGATCTGGGCTCACCGCAACCTCCGCCTCCTGGGTTCAGGCAATTCTCCTGCCTCAGCCTCCTGAGTAGCTGGGACTACAGGCACGCGCCACCATGCCCAGCTAATTTTTTGTGTTTTTAGTAGAGACGGGGTCTCACCATGTTGACCAGGATGGTCTCGATCTCTTGACCTTGTGATCCACCCGCCTCGGCCTCCCAAAGTGCTGGGATTACAGGCTTGAGCCACCGCGCCCGGCCCCCACTAATCTTCTTACTGTCTATATAGTTTTGCCTTTTCCGGGATGAAATAGGCAGGTTTGGTTTGGTTTTGTTTTGTGTGTTTGTGTGTGTGTGTGTGTGTGTGTGTGCGTGCGTGCGTGCGTGCGTGCGCGCGCGCGCCTGTGTATGTTTTGAGACAGAGTCTTGCTCTGTTGCCCAGGCTGGAGTGCAGTGGCACAATCCCAGCTCACTGCAACCTCTGCCTCCTGGGTTCAAGCAATTCTCCTGCCTCAGCCTCCTGAATAACTGGGATTACAGGCACATGCCATCACATCGCCTAATTTTTGTATTTTTAGTAGAAACGGGGTTTCACCATGTTGGTCAGGCTGGTCTCAAACTCCTGACCTCGTGATCTGCCCGCCTCGGGCTCTCAAAGTGCTGGGATTACAGGCCTGAGCCACCATGCCCAGATGAAATGGACAGTTTTTTTTTTTTAAATCAAAGTTGAATTCAAATTTTTCTTTATTCTTCTAATTACATAATTGCCACTAGGTGGCAGCAAAGATTTAAATAATAAGGAAGATGCTGTTTAATAGAATTTTTAAGGGAAAAAACCAACTTTGAGAGATGGCTTTTCAATTCTACAAATGACAATGGATGGCCTCAGGGAGGTTGACAGAGTTGTTTGCAGTCTCCCTGCTGCACCAGTAGTGAGGTCCAGGGAGGTGAATGGTATGGGGAAGGTAGGAGCAGCAGGGGCTTTGGTGCCAGGAAGATGATCAAGTTACTCTCTCTGAACCCTCGTTTCTTCATCTGTAAAATGCTGACAGCACCCATAGCCTAGGCTGCTATATGGGAGAAAAGAAGCCACGCACTGTAAAATGTTTTGCATAATACAAAACTTGGTACACGTGAGACACTCAATAGGCTCTCTTTTTCCTTGGTTAGGGGCAGAGTTAGATCTTGGGCTTTTTACAAGCACCTCAGTCCCCAGACATCCCACAGCTATGAAAGAAGCAAAAACACAACTTGAACATAATAAGGATCACTGTTAGGGGATAGAAAGTCTTGAGGGCTTGGCCTGCAGCCAATCAGAGGCTGAAGTGGAGTTACACCAGAAACAAATGAAGGACTGGCCCATGGCCAATCAGAAGCTGAAGTCGAAACTTGACCTGCAACCAATCAGAGGCTGAAGTGAAGGACTGGCCCATGACTGATTAGAGGCCGAAGTTTTCCTTTGGTTTAATTCTAAGAAGTCAGCCGCGGGTTCCCCTTAGGCTCCCAGTCTCTAGATCCTATTTTTCTGCCTCGCCACTATGATCATTCTGCACTGAGGGCTTTCTAGAATCAGGTACCATGTGAAGGCTTTGTAAACATGGTACCATTTAGTCTCCACAATCGTTCTAGTCAGAGTGCCTCGCAGACTGGAAGCCCCCTGACTTCGCAGGTGGTGTCTGTGCCACTCAGATCCTCCGTGCCCTGCAGGTGCCTCATGGGGAACAGTCATTCTACATGTTTTATAGAAAAATATTCACTGACTGCTTAAAGCCAACCAGCTGGTAAGGTTGGGCTGGAAGTACAGGCTAGGGTTAAGCCTCCTTTCTGACAAAACTTATGATACAAATCGAGCAAATCAACAAAGGGCACCTCCTAGATAAGGGAATACCAGCCCACATCAGAATCCTGATCTGAAGTATTCTGGTGTATTTCACAGAGACTACCCACTCCTGTCTGGACAAAACCATGGTCATCACTCAAGCCTGACATTGTGCTGGAGAGAGTGGAAAAGATGCAGAGACAAAAGATTGGTGCTGGATTGCTCCCTCCTTTCACGCTCACTCCAACTAAGCTCTTTCATAAAGAACAAAATGTCCTACTCTCCATCTTCGTGTTTTTCAGCTGTTGAGAAAATTGTTTCCACATCACTGAAGCAGCTGCCGACAAATATAGAAAGCTGGTGATTGGCACTGAAATTATTGCCAGTGTCAGAAATAGGTGAATATGGAGCAGCATCGAGGAAATAAAACCCATGTGCAACTCACCAGTGTCCTACCCAGGAAAAACAATGACCTAATGTGGAAAAAAGAAAGAGCAAACACCTGACCTTAAACACTTGACCCTGAGCCCT